GAAGAGCGTTTGCTTTTTCTTCCTTTTCTTTCCTTGCCTAAGAGGGCTGGTTTCTACCGGGTCCCAGCAGCCGGCCTGTCTCAGGACGGCCCTGGGGTCCTGACCACCTTCTTTTTATTTATTTGTTTATTTTTGGCTGCGTTGGGTGTTCGTTGCTGCGCGCGGGCTTTCTCTAGTTGCGGCGAGCGGGGGCTACTCTTCGCAGCGGTGCGCGGGCTTCTCATTGTGGTGGCTTCTCTTGTTGCGGAGCACGGGCTCTAGGTGCGTGGGCTTCAGTAGCTGTGGCTCACAGGCTCTAGAGCGCAGGCTCAGTAGTGGTGGCGCACGCGCTTAGTTGCTCCGCGGCATGTGGGATCTTCCCGGACCAGGGCTTGAACCTGTGTCCCCTGCATTGGCAGGCGGATTCTTAACCACTGCGCCACCAGGGAAGTCCCACTGACCACCTTCTTTTCCAAACTTTATCCTGGGGTCCCACTTGCCGGTGGAAACCCGAGGCTCAGAGGGCGAATGATCACATTAGAAGTTCAGATACTGTTATTAGCATCTTTTGAGACAGATGGAAACTGAGCCCCAGAGGAATCGCTCACCTTGCTCAAGGTCAGAGAGCTCATGAGAGGTGGAACTGGGTTGTGAATCTGGGCCTCTGAGCCTTGTGCTTTGCTCGGTGGTGGTTACCAAGACCTCCTCCCGCGTGGTCACAGCAGCCTGTGGACGTCCTGGGAAGCGCTCAGAGGCTGTGGCCTTCTCTGAGGACTGGAGGCTGAGCCCAAGCTGGGGCGCCCCCGCCAGCTGCTTCTCTGGCCCGTGGCTGCAGCCTGGGCTCCCCTGGGCCCACGTGGCCGAGAGCAGTGCCCTGTGGGTGCTCCTGAGGCCCAGCTGCGCCAGGAGGTGGGTGGCATCCTTTCTCTCTGGGTGGCCTGTGTCCAGTGTCCCTGCCCTTTTCCCTTGGGCTTTACCGGTCTCGCTCTCCGTAGAGGCGAGTGGTCAGTGTCTGTGGCTAGAGAAGGGACAGAGTGCTGCCACCTCCTTTTTTGGTCTGTAGCCCTTTACTCCAGCCGCTGAGTCAGTCAGGCAACTTCCTATGGGTCCAGGGTGGAAGTTATTAGGGGTAAGGGTACGAAGGGTGGATACCGCATAGCCATGAAGATCTTAGATGTCTGTGAGCAAGGTTTTCTGCTGGCTGCTGGCTCCAGCCGGATCTCTTCTTCCGTCGCTGGGAGGTGTTCCATGGGCCATGGGGTTATTGGTGTTCCTGGAGGGCCCTCGCTCCTTCTGGATCATCAAACCGGGCGGGGGGCTGGGGGACACGGATGCAGCCTCAGGCTCTGTGAGGGCTGATGCGATCTCTTTATGCCTCTTTTAAAGCATGTGATTTACCCGGGTGCTGGTGATGAAGCCATTTCAGAATACAAGTCCGTGATTTATTACCAAGTGAAACAGCCGCGCTGGTTTGAGACAGTTAAGGTATCATTTGCATGGTCCTTTTACCGTGGGGTTGATTATGAAATGCTCATTTGTACCCTGAGGAAGTCCCCGCCTCCTGCCCAGCCCAGGGCTGCCCGCCAGTGGGCACCCTCCGCGAGCCCCCAAGGCACTTTCAACGAAGTCCTTTAGGGTTGCTAAGGAACCACACCGGTGTTTCTTGGAATTTACATTTACTCTCATCTCCTTTTGGACCTAAAAACAGGACTTTCCTGGAGACAAATACAGAGTCCTTTAAAGATAGCAATTGTCTTTCTCTTCTCGGGTCTGTTTTATGTGTGGCTTGCTGTCTTTACACCAAATGGAAAAAAACAGCGATGATAATACACGGAGGGCATCGCTGGAGAGATGGATCCTGTTCCCTTGGCCTCGGTGCTCTGAGGCTCCTAATGCAGCCCGCTGATACCCCCACACAGCCCACACACCACGCACGGGCTTGGGTACTGGGACACCAGGCCAGCGGTTGGCTTTGGAGTACAGATGTTAGCTATGAGATTAGGGACAATCTTGGCTTAAAGGCAGCAGGTATTAAGTCTTTTGCCTTTTACTGTAAGTCACAAAAGGACCGCCTTCTCGCTGCAGCCGAGGGCAGGTCCCTACAACTGTAGAGGGAATATAGATACCTCCGAATCGGGGCTAAAAACGAAAATGGCAACTTTTAAAAATAGACTCTTCACGCTGAGGATCACATTTAAAAAAAAATTCAGCTGCCTTGTCCAGTCTGCTTGGCATCCTGGACAATATTATCTGGTGTAAATTTTCAAAGGGCATTTGCTTCTGGGACAGTCATATAGGGGATGAGGTGTACGGTATCTTCTCCCTGTAGTGCAGAAGAGCCTAGAGTGGTCCAGGATGTCTCCAGGGGAACAAAGCTGATCGAGCGAGAAGATGTTCCTAAAGGTGCTCAGCTTCTCTCTTTATTCTGCAGGTGGCCATCCCCATTGAGGACGTGAACCGCAGTCACCTACGGTTTACCTTCCGACATAGATCGTCCCAGGACTGTGAGTAACCACACGCTTCGTTATCCCGTGTTTATCATGCACTTACTCTGGATTGTTCTAGAACGTGGCTACTGTAACACAGTGAGGTCTTGACGCTTCAGCGAACCTGCTCCCGTGAAGTGCTGTCCACTCTGATTGAGTTGATCCCAGGATATCTTCAGTTTCTTCTCGAATTTGTGTGATGAGGTGCCGCTCCTTCCTACTCACCCCTTGGGTTTCCTCTTTCCCCTTTGGCTTGTAATACCACCCCATCCATCAGAAAAGTCACTGAGATATAAGCTCTTAATGCTCCTGCATTGGCGTTGAAGACCTCTGGCTTTGCTGGCAGCTGCTGGTGCCTGGAGCTCTGGCTTGCCTTTTCTCGTCCACGTTGGTGTAGCCTTGGCCGTGGTGCCAAGACTTTGGGAGGAAAGACGTTTGAATCACTCACCCTCCAGGAGGATTTATTATTGATGATTGAAGTTTGTCTCATTACCTGTGTTGAATTCGTTGTCTGCTAAGGATGTCACCCTGTGCTAGACACTAAGTAAGATATCACAAGGGAAAGATACGCCCCCTGCCCTTCATGGTCTCTGTCCATCTGGCAGTGGGCTAAGGTTTGAGAAAATAAGTGATGCTGGGTCATGTGTGCAGCGGCATCGAGGGAACGGTGGTCTGGGTGGGCGCGTTTGTCACCCACCGGCCTGTGGGGGCCAGAGCCCTGCGGTTGGGGGACCTCAGCCCTGGCTCTGTGTGTCTTCACAGATGTTTCAGCCTGAGGAGGGGAATGCGTGGGGGCTGCCGACCCCTCAGCAGGATGCCGGCCGTAGGATAGGGCTCCACAGGACCACCGCTGCTGTGATGGTGTGTCCACCCTCCTTGCTGTTTCTGGGGGCCTGCCTGACCTGTGCCCTCCCCAGAGCGTGGAGCCCGCAGAGGCCAGGGTGCAGGAGAGCAGCCGGGAGGGTGAACGCGTGAGCAGAGGTGTGAAGTTGGGGGTATGTAGACCCCCGTGTGGGACCAGTGAGAAGCTCTGTGAGGTTGAAGAGGCACGAGGACCACAGGGCTGGTGTGTGGAAAGTGTGACTAGCAGCCTGAAGATGTGCTTGCGCGGGGTGAGGCCGGGAGGCGGCTGAACCAAGGGATCTAGAGCAGCACGGGGTCCCTTGTGGTGAGTGGGCGTGTGGAGGTTGCCGGGGTGGGGGGTGGGAGCGCTATGGAGCATCATTCCACCCCTCCTCTTGTCCCAGTGCTTAAGGGGCCAGCTGAGAAGGGGGTCAGGGCCCAAGCAGTGTGGGAGGCACAGGGTGTGAAGTCTGGGCAGCTTGGAAAGCAGGGCTCGCCCCATTTCGGGCCAAATCCAGGCCGCCAGGCAGCGGGCTGGGGTCTGCTAACTGTGGGCTCTCCTGGACGGCTGAAACGTGGATGGATAAGATGTTCGGACGGATGCGAACACCTCTTCGTACGTGTTCATCGTGCTCTTACTCTCTCCTGGCGCAAGTATTTTTACCACGTTATTTAGATGGGTCCTCACCACGATGCCATGTGGTGGGTCATTGCGCTTCCTACATTACAGATGAGGAAACTGAGCCTCAGAGACCCCACCTCAGTGGCCCAGAGTCACCTGATGGTCAGTGGAAGACCTCTGGTTCCCACCCCAGTCCTTGCGTCTCCCCTGCCTTTGGGGAGCACCGAGGCCACTGCCGTCATGTGGTCTGTGTTGAGCACCTGCTGTATACGCAGCTCACACAGAGAGTTCTCCTCTTGCCAAACTTAGGCTGGGTTGAGGCGTGAGATCGGCTCGCAAGAGCCACGTGCCGAGCAGCGGCCTGGGAGCGTCGCGTGCATTAGGCAGGGGTGCGGGCTGAGCAGGGTCAGGTGGGTGCTTGGGGGAATTGGGGGCAGGTATGTCCTCAGCCAATTCCCAGAGGGTGTTGTGGGCCCAGCGCCCTGCACACCGGAAGTTGCCGGGGGTGGGAATGGGCTGCAGGGGAGGAAAGGGTGGGGAGCCCTGTTGCAGGACGAGGACAAAGTCCCAGAAGGCACAGGGGACTTGTCTCAGAAGCACGCTCCTTCTTTAGAACAAGCTCATTCTCTCTAATTAATAGATTACACCAGGGCAGAGGGATCTCTTTGGTAGCATTTTAATTTTCAAAATCCTTGTTTTTCTTGTCAGTTTTAAGTACTCATTATAGACAAGATGCTATCACCCGGCCTCCCACGGCACATTTACATAATTAATGAAGTCTCCCTGGCCACAGCTGGTGGGGTTTGGGGACCGTGTCGAGCATTGCAGGTGTGATGCTGACGACGTCCCGAGCTGTCCGCTGCTGGCGGGATAGGGGCCACCGGGGCCCCTGCTGCGGCCTCGTCTGCAGATGCTCTGGGTCAGAAATGGGAGGAAGGGCACGCAGCATGCCCTCCCCGCCGCCCCAGGCAAAATGCGTGCCCTTCACCCCTAGTGGAAGAAAGTGAGGGGATTTCTCGTACCAGGAACTGTCCTTGGGGTTGGGAAGTTTGGCGCTGGCGTCTAACATTCTGCTGCAACTTGTCAACCGTTCCAAACGCATCATCTGATGTTTCATGTGGATGCGGGCAGATGAGTGGCTTCTGGGGCCGGCCTGCCAGGAGCTGAGTTTCCCTTGTTTGTAGGGGCTGGTTGGGCCCGCCAGCGCTGCCCGCCCTCTGGGGCATGTGGCCTTCTCCTGTGGCCTCTGACGTTTTGTAAATTTGTGGCCTGCCTCATAATGGCTGCTAATGAGGACATAACAAATGCAGTCCATCCCCCATGTGAAGATGCAGAGTATTAATAAAAGGTGCACTTTTAAATTGTGTGCTACTTAAGAGTAGGGTCAGGGGAAGCCTTCTGCTGGCAGATATGGTCACGTGTCCTGAACTGCAGCTGCTTTCAGAGAGACATGTGTGTTAATTTTTTTCATGTCAGCCCAAACTTAAAAGGATCTCTTCCTTCTCACCTGAACACTGAGTTTTATGTTTTTAAGAACCCTTTCACAAAGTTCTTTCAATTTCTAGAGTACATATTTTTTGCTTTTATCCCTCCCTTTAGCTTTGGTTGGTCAATCGTTCACCCAGCTAATTAGCTAGCATTTATTGAGCACCTAATGTGTGCCAGACCCGATGGACACCAGGAACGCAAAGACTAATGAGTCGTGGTATCTCAGGCAGTGATGTCCTATAGCAAATATTTTGAGCCCCTGACTCAAGGTGGGCAGATGTACGCTCTTCAACCTCTGTCCTTTCATCTCCAAAAAGAGAGTCTGGGATCTATAATTTTTTTATTTTTGCATCCCAGCGGCCATGGCTCACGGGCCCAGCCGCTCCGTGGCATGTGGGATCTTCCCAGACCGGGGCATGAACCCGTGTCCCCTGCATCGGCAGGCAGACTCTCAACCACTGCGCCACCAGGGGAGCCCATGGGATCTATAATTTTAAAGGTCTTTTCTAGCCCTGAAACTCAGTGTTTCTGTGCTGTGTTCAGGTTACATCTTGAAAAATTCATCACAAATCCATTTCTTCAGTCCAGACTCCTCATCTATCTCCACCTGATCTGGCACCTGCCCACCTTGGAGCTCTCACTGCCTACCACTCACCAGCCACACGGGCTTCTAGTCCCCAAGCAAGGCAGGCCTGTCCCACTTTAGGGCTTCCGTATTTGGCCATCTCTTTTCCTGGAGGGTTTACATCTTGGCTCATATGTCATCAAGAAGGTCTTCTCAGAGAGACCTTTTCCAACCATCCAGCTGGGTGGTCCCTGTTCCCATCAGCATGCTTTAACAAGCCACCAATTTTTGTTTTATTTGTTATCTGAAAGGACTTTAAAAAAATAATTTATTTATTTTGGCTGCACCAGGTCTTAGTTGTGGCTCACCAGCTCCTGAGATGTGGCATGCAGACTCTTAGTTGTGGCATGCATGCGGGATCTAGTTCCCCGACCAGGGATTGAACCTGGGCCCCCCATTAGGAGCACGGAGTCTTACCCACTGGACCACCATGGGAGTCCCTGAAAGGACTTGTTTGTTGGCGTCTCCCCATCTAGAACAAATATTTGAGTGCCTAACATATATAGCAGGCACTATTTCATGCACTGGGGAAATAGCAGTGAAAAAATACATAATGTCTTTTGCATGGGAAAGCCCAGTGGATGAAACTAACAATAAACACCACATCGTTGTCTCCCCGCTCCCCTGGCCCTTTCTCATGCACAGACACCCTACAGGCTTGGTAATCTCTTGGTAATCTGGTAGTAATCTCTTGGTAATCTGTTGTCTTAATCTGCTTGGGCAGCCATAACAAAATACCATAGACTGCATGCCTTAAACAACAGAGATTTACTTTCTCACAGTTCTGGAGGCTGCAAGTCCGAGATCAGGGTACCACCATGGTCAGGTTCTGGTGAGGACCCTCTCCCAGATTGCAGATGGCCGCCTTCTCTTTGTGAGCTCACACTGAGAGGGACCACTCTGGTGTCTGTTCCCCTTCTTATAAGGGCAGCCGTTGTATAGCGTCAGAGCCTCACCCTTATGACCTTTTAATCTTAAGAACCTCCTTATAGGCCTTTTCTCCAATACAGCTACATGGTGCGGGGGTTAGACTTCAGCATAAGAATTTTGTTGAACAAATAAAACATAACAGTTCAGCCCATAGCGACTGTGAAGAACTGACTAGGGTAGGCGTTTGCTCTTCTAGGCAGGCTGGTCACTACAGAGCAGGTGATACTTTGGCAGAAACTTGAATGAAGTGAGAGAATGAGTCTCACATGCTAAATCTGGGGGAAGGACTTTCTTGCCAAAGAGGACAACATTTCACAGTAGGGTGTTTAGTCCACCTGGGACTTATATTTGTGGAGGGTGTGAGGTGAGCATCCATCTGTTTTGTTTGTCCCTCTGCTGACACTCTGAAGGGTCTGCCCCTTCCAGAGGTCACTTGCAGTGGCCTGTGTTTTCATGCCCTGTTTGTTCCCACTGGTCTGTGAATCCCTGTGATAAAAACCCACCGTCTTCATTGTTACCACTTTCCAGTTACTGTTGGGTTTTAGCATTGCAGGCTTTCCTCCACGTTCCTTTTCAAAACCATCCTCCTGCTGTTGGTCCTTTACTATATATATATATATTTTTTTTTTTTTCCTTGCGTTATGCGGGCCTCTCACTGTTGTGGCCTCTCCCATTTGCGGAGCACAGGCTCCGGACGCGCAGGCTCAGTGGCCATGGCTCCCGGGCCCAGCCGCTCCGCGGCATGTGGGATCTTCCCGAAACGGGGCACGAACCCGCGTCTCCTGCATCGGCAGGCGGACTCTCAAGCACTGCGCCACCAGGGAAGCCCTGGTCCTTTACTATAGAATCAGTTTTCAAGTTCCACGAGGAACTCCCGTGAGATTTTGACTGTAATTGCTTTGAATTTACAGATTAGTTTGAACGCAGCTGATCCCTTTATGATAAGTGAATGTTGTCTATATCTCCGTTTATGTTTACTTTAACATCTGTCAGAACGGTTTTGTTATTTTTTTCAGAAAGGCAGCCCTTGTAGCATTTTATGATGTTCTTTTTTTGTCGTGATGGCAGTAGAAAATGATTATTAATTTCTATTGCAGCTAAGGATAAATCCGAGAAGATATTCGCACTCGCTTTTGTAAAGCTGATGCGCTACGATGGGACCACCCTAAGAGACGGGGAGCATGATCTTATTGTCTATAAGGTAGTAGCTCTTGTGTTGGTGCAGTTTTGCTAATATTGACTGTTTCAAGTCTTTTTGGGCTTCCTGGCCTGAGCTGACATTTCCCATCTTTGTGAGAACACTGCTATCTAGCAACATTTAATTATGTAAATGAACATTGCAGAGGACCAGCTGTCCCTGAGGAGAGAAGCTGATACACAATGACACGTTAAGTGCTGTTTAAAAAAATCCTCTGTGTGAATGTGAATTCATCTACAGGAATAAGGGAAATCATTAAAATAAGCAGTTTAGCACAGGGAACTCTGCTCAGTATTCTCTAACAGCCTAGTTGGGAAAAGAATCTGAAAAAGACTAGACACATGTATATGTATAACTGAATCACTCTGCTGTACACCTGACACTAACACAACACTGTTAATCACCGATACTCCAATATAAAATAAAAAGTTAAAAAGAATAAAACAAGCGGTTTAGCACATGATAAAGAGCAAATATCATGATGGTTAAAAGGATTAAGGGTCCCAAGGGGTAGAAAATATTGCACGGGATTGTCAGTTGCATTTGACCTGCTGCATCGTTAAACCCACAGGCCGAAGCAAAGAAGCTGGAAGACGCCGGCACGTACCTGAGCCTGCCGTCCACCAAAGCCGAGTTGGAAGAGAAGGGCCACTCGGCGACGGGGAAGAGCATGCAGAGTCTTGGGAGCTGCACCATCAGCAAAGATTCCTTCCAGATCTCAACTCTCGTGTGCTCCACCAAACTGACCCAGAATGGTGAGCTTGGGGCCAGAAACGGGTTCGCCCCTGGAGTTTTTCTCCTTCCACCCCATCTTTCTCGTGCTCCCTGCTGAATGGAGGAGGCTTCCTTAGGTCCCTGAAGCCTGCTGGCGAGTCATTCATACCTTCCCTCCGTAATGGCCCGTGTGGATGCTGTTGGACAAGGAGAGAGGGAGAGGGTTACATTGTTCTGCTTTGAAACTCACGTTCTGATTTTATGCTAAGGATGAACCTCAAAGAGAGATAAAGCAATGGATTTACTTTAAAAAAAAAAAAAAAGATAAAGCTTTCTGGCCAAGGGAAGGGAGAAATCCACACAATTTGGAGTCGGACCAAAGCCCCAAACTTGAGCCTTGGCCCTGTGCTAATAACCCTGGGAATGACCTCGAACTAGGGTCTCTGAGCTCATTTTCCTCATCTATACCCTGGCTATAATGCCTGCCTCAGAGGGCTGTCTGAGGGCTACGGAGCTCTAGGGAGTGAGGCCCCTACCCTCCTTGGGTCTTCCCCTCTCTCGGCTACTCATTGAGATAATCACCAGTTACCTTTAGTTTTACAAGTTGGTGTTGACGACATTTCTAGTCCCCCTGACAGCGAGATAAGGCACCCCTTGCCGATGCACTCACACCAAAGTGCGACCTTAACGCAGCATCAGATGGGGCCCAGTGTCCCCGCGCTGCGGGCTGGGGTGCTCGGCATTGTTCCCACGGGCTTGCAGCCTCCCCAAGGCGTGGCCGTGCGGCCGGGGCACTCCTGATTCAGAGCACACTGTCTGGTCGAGGCAGAGGGTCCTCTGCACAGATCTTACATTGAAAAATCGAGCTCCCCAAATGTGATGGTCTCACAGCCGTGCAGAGTAGCTTTACGTTCTCTTGAAAGTCAGCTTGAAAATCCAATTTTTTTTCCTCTCAGCCACTGATACGGATTTTGATTATTAATGTCGGTTGCTGTCGTGAATCGTGTTCCCGGGGGTTGTCCGTAAAGCTTGGCAGTAGTCTCGGATGGGCTCAAGGGACAGTCATCGTTTGGACTTTAACAGGCTGATCACAGGACAGAAGTAACCTGTCATCTGGAAGGCCCTGCGTGGTAGTGGAGAGTGCGGGTCCTGATCACCGCCTGCTCTAGTAACCTCCATGAGCAGATGGAAACTCTTCCCTGGGGCACCGCGTTCCGTGCACGCGTGGGGAGGGATAGATTATGCGCAGGGAGCTTGCAAGTTTAGTGCCCAGGGAACATGCTGTCAGCAAGGCGGGTGCTGGCTTGAGACTGGGTTATAGAAATGATTACTCCTCCTAGGGCTTCATTTAACTCAGGGCAGCCTGTCCAGTGGGGCACTTAAGCTTCTGCGTTGTCTTGCCATCTTTACTGTGTGGGAAGCCACCTTCTTAGAAATGGGTCATATTCCAAAAGCATGTTCGGAAGTTGTTATTTGGAACTTGACTATATTTTCCCCATTAAAACAGTGTGTTGAATAGCGGTTAGGTTGTGAGGCCCACGCACAGAATCCTTCTTAACCCACATATCCCTGGGGAAGACAACTGTGAACTAGGACATTCTCAAGGTATTAAGTCACAGTAATTCCCCGGGGAGATGTGTCCCACCTCCTCTCACCTTTAAGCTCTTCGAATCTCACCAGACACAGGGTAATCCCCTCTTTGGGACCGAGGGGGCACAGCACCCTGGTCTCGCCAGTGGCTGTTGCCAGGCAACCAGGAAATTCCGATGTGATGCAGCTCACTAAGCGTGAGGGGGACACATCTTTTGTTGTTCATTTCACACCAGCCAACAAAGCCTCTTTCCTGGATGGTGGCGTGTCAGGTGTGTGCAAGATGGGGCTGCCCCAATTGGCATCTGGCGTTGAGTCCCAGATGCTCATTTGAGGGAGTCATTTTTCTGGAACCGTGATGTGTTACTGTGAAGTTCCATTACTTAGGGAAAAGTGGTGGCTGAATTGTTCGTCGAGGTTTGCATTAAACACCTCTGCTCTCAGCATTATGCTGGATGCTTTGGGGGATATAAAACGAAGTAGGAGACGTGGTTCCTCTCCCCCATCAGCTTACTATGTAATTAGAGAGAGAGAAGCCATGAGGCAGAGAATCACTACGAGCCAAACTGCGGTGGTTCCCTGGGAATGAGAGGGGACAGAGAGGGTGGGGGGCTGAGCAAGCTGTCCCTCCTCAGAGGTGTTTGCCCACTGCTAATTTGCCCAGCTGTATCTTTTCTCAAAAGTACAACACAGAGGTGAACCTCAGCCTCCCTCTAATCCAGAGTGCCACTAACTTTGCATGAATGGGATCCAGAGTGTTAACTCACCTCCATTAAAAAAACGCTGGTGGACTTCCGTCATGGTGCAGTGGTTAAGAATCCATCTGCCAATGCAGGGGACATGGGTTCAGTCCCTGGTCCAGGAAGATCCCACATGCCGCGGAGCAACTAAGCCCGTGCGCCACAACTACTGAGCCTGCGCTCTAGAGCCCGAGAGCCACAACTGCTGAGCCCGCATGCCACAACTACTGAAGCTGCGTGCCTAGAGCCCGTGCTCCACAAGAGCAGCCACCGCAATGAGAAGCCTGCGCACTGCAACGACGAGCAGCCCCTGCTTGCTGCAACTAGAGAAAGCCGTTGCGCAGCAATGAAGACCCAATGCAGCCAAAAATAAACAAACAAAAAACCAAAGATAAGCGGTACCTTCTAGTATTCGCAAAAACTGTTTAAAAATAAAACAAACAAAAAAAACCCACAAAAAAAACGCTGGTAACTCTTATGAGGTGGAAATCTCCATTAACCCTGGGACTGAGAGCGTGTCTGGGCAGGATGTAGCCCTTCTCATGACTTCACTTTCAATTAGAAATTAAAACATGTTAACCTTCACGATGAATGGCTAAAATGTTCATCTCTTTGATGGGTGGCTGTTGTTGGTCTTCCTGCCTGGCATCACACTAAGTGCTTTCTCCACTTCTTGCCATTTAAGTCTTGCACCAACCCTGTGACCCAGGCAACACTGTGCCCATTGTTCAGATAGAAAAACTGAGGTGAAGGTACTTGTCCAAGGTCACATCTTGGTGGCGTGGCCGGGCTGGTGTTTGAGTCTACTCTCTACACATTCTAAAGACACTGGGATGCTGTCCCCTTCACATTTTCCTGTTTGTAACTCTTCCCTTCATCAGCTGTACTTGGGGGTAAGGTGATATAAGTGAGAATGTGTATTTGGTGTTCATCCCCTGTATGCCTTTTGTGTGGTTTGATCCTTGAATTATAACTGGTGTCTTGTGTTCACTGAAATTCTACGTATTGCCAAAATTGTATCTTTCTTTTCGGTATTAACTAGGGTTTTTTTTTAATGGAGACAGTTTCTGTAGCAGAAGTTCGTTCCCGATGAGCATAAGCAGTAAATTAGATGTGCTTTGCTAACTGTGTTTTTTCACGTAATGGGATATTAATATGACTTCAGATGAAAACGTCCTTTCGCAGAGATGTTTTGGATTCTGTTTTCATGCCTTAAACAAAATCATTTCTCAACATTGCCTTCCACATTTAGTCTGTAAAAGCCAGTACGTTCAACTTGCGATTTTTCTATTAGAAAAGAAACATACAAAAACTTTTGGAAGGGCCAGGACTTGGTAAAGGTGGCACGCTCAGTGCAGCAGTGGTCTCCGGGGCCAGGGTTCCTGTCTCCTTTGGGGACTGTCCCCTTGCATTCTCAGTACTTGAATTCATGTTGGTTTTTTATTTTATATTATTTTATCTTAAAAAACTAAGAATCTTATTCTTGAACAGGAGAAAACCCCTTGGCAGGAGCTGCCAGGACAGCACTGAATGGCCAGCAGCCTCGCAGGCCTGCTGCTCTTCTCATCTGCCTACTTGTGGGTTGGAAAGGCCGGTGCCTCTTCTGTAGGCTCCCCAGATGCCTTTTGAAAGTTTCCACGTGGAAATCATTTCATGGTAAACGTAGTTGGAAATAATGAATCCAGTCACACTGGGTGTCAAGGATGTTGCTAGTAAGTAATGAAATAGTTACGTGGCGAATGTTTCCAAATAGGCTTGGTTCATCTGTTCAAAAAATTATGTAGAGGACCTCACATGATGGGTGAATGAGGGAGACAGAGTCCTTGCTGTGAGGAACTGATGTTCGTTTACTGTTTCCAGTGGACCTGCTGGGGCTGCTGAAGTGGCGATCCAACACCAACCTGCTGCAGCAGAACCTGAGGCAGCTGATGAAGGTGGATGGTGGTGAAGTCGTGAAGGTAACGTGGCTCCCACGCTGGTTCTGGTTGTTTTGTTGTCCTTACGGATATGAAGAGGTGTAGGCTCCGCCTCCCAAGATGGTACAGGCACGCCTCCGAGACACTGCAGGTTCGGTTCCAGACCGCCACAGGAAAGCAAGTCACACGAATTATTTGGTTCCCCAGTGAGTATCCAAGTTACATTTACACTCTCCTGTAGTCTGCTGAGTGTGCAGTAGCATCATGTGAAAAAAAATAGGTACAATATAAAATAGATAGCCAACAAGGACCTACTGCATAGCACAGGGGACCACACTCAATATCTTGCCACAATCTATAATGGAAAAGGATCTGGCTTTCCGAGCTAGACCCCAGACAGGGGTCCCTACCGCGTTGTTCTGGGTTCCCATCGTAACTTAAAGGGAAACTTACACAATGTCCAGAGCCCTTCATGTCCTGCAAATGACGGAGGAGGATGTCCTCAAATTCTTTGCAAGTGTTTTAGTTGTAAACGAAAATGACTAAATAAAATATTATTCATAATTTTAAAAAAAGGAAAAGAATCTGAAAAAGAATATATATATATATATATATATATATACGTACAACTGAATCACTTTGCCATACACCTGAAACTAACACAACATTGTAAATCAGCTATACTCCAATTAAAAACAAACAAACAAACAAACAAGGGAATTCCCTGGAGGCCCAGTGATTAGGACTTTGCGCTTCCATTGCAGGGGGCACGGGTTCTGGTTGGGGAACCGAGGTTCCACATGCCTCGCAGTGAGTGGAAAAAAACAAAAAAAGAAAAAAGTTTAAACAAAAGAAACAAAAAACCCTCAAAATTAAAAAACCCTGTCCATTAAAAAACCAATTAAAAAATAACTTTATTGCTAAAAAATGCTAAACCATCACCTGAGCCTTCAGTGAGTGATAATCAACAGTCACATCAAAGATCACTGATCGCAGATCACCATCACAAACATAATATTAATGAAGTTGGGAATATTGCAAGAATTATCAAAATGTGACACAAAGACACAGAGTAAGCAAATGCTGTTGGAAAAATGGCTCCAAGAGACGTGCTGGACCCAGGGTTGCCACAAATCTTTGATTGGTAAAAACCACAATATCTGCCAAGTGCGATAAAACGAGGTCCGCCTCGTCATAAGCCTTTTACCAACCAGTGTCTTCGGGATGTTGACATATACCTCTAAGACAACAGAATCCTTCTTGGACTCTGGTCCGGGGAGCATGGCCTGGCTTCACTGTGGTGGAAACAGGCTTTGGAATCAACCAAGTCTAGGGTTCTGCTTCCTCTTCCAGCAGGTCCTCACTGTGGGGCTGACACAGGTTAAATAACATCTTTAAACCTTGCTTTCCCCTGCTGTAAAATGGACATAACCAGAGTGCCTTGTTCACAGGGTCCCTGTGGAGGTTAAATGAGGTACTGGCCCCTGGGAGGTGGTCTGGTAGTATCGGGATTTATCATTGTCACTGTCATGACCATCCCCGTGATGGTTAACCCTGGCTCTCGAGTCACCTAGGAGCCCTGTCATTAACGTGGAGAGCTTCGTGGTGTGTCAGAAAGATCACAGCACTCAGTCTTGTCTTGGCCCTTTTCCTCCCATGTGGTCTTGGATTGATTTCTTAGCCTCACACAGAGCAGGCCCTGGAGTGGCGCCCTTGAATCTTTATCTACGATAGGACAGTCAGACTAGAGTGATCGGAGGTCCCTTTGAGTCCTCAGATTTGGTAATCGTTGGTGGTTCCAATATTTTCTTCAGTAAAAGGCTCTCCTTGCCACTCCTGTGCCCAGTGACTTCTCCTTGTATGTAAGGAAATGCATTTCCGTGGCCACTGGGCTCCACCTTGGCTGGCGTGCGGCAAGCCGGGCCACCACTCGTGGCTGCCCGAGAGCAAGGTCCCCACGGCCAGTTCCGTGTCGCTGCCTCAGTTCTTTATCCTCCGTGAGAGGTGCTTGCGGAGGGAGACGACCTTATCTCTGTGAAAATTAATTACTTAAAATGGCCTTAATTAAACAGCAATGTGGTTAACTTCAGTAGAAATTAATTTGGTGGCACCGCTCTCCTAAATTCATTGTATAACCGTTCAAACATATCCTCACTAATCTTCAAATTTTAATCACCGTTTCCTGGCTCTTGTCTTCTTCTGCTGGCTTGGACAATGTTAACTGCATTTTAAACTTCCCTGGGTTCTATGAATTCCCTAATTCAGATGAAAACTGGGTGAATTAAGTTAACATCACTTTAAAAGACCCACAGTTAATGAAATTGTGTCCTCTTTCATTTTTCGGTCCCTGTATCACATCAGGAATTGTATTTATGTTGAACTATTGACACACTGACCAGGGAAGTTCTAGAACCATCTCGTTTTATTGCCCCCCCTCAGTTCCTCTTATCTAATCTATTATCGCATCCTGTTGTTCTTCCCTGGAGATGGTTTTCACCTCTCTCCCTCTCCTTCCTGTGTTCACTGGTACCGCCCAGGGTTGGATGACCTGTCCGGCCCTTACTTGTTTTGCCTGTTTATTCCTTCCCATTGACAGTGTATCCTAATACCCTGTAGGCCTGGAGCAGGGAATAGACTCGTCTAAGGCCACCAGGCTGTTAACAGAACCAGGAGCAGAGGGAATCCCAGCCTGCGAGGGGCTGCTTTCATTCTGTTGAAGGACACTGATAGATTGTGGGTTTTATTCCATTTATTCAAGACCTCCCTTCTGTGTCTTTATAACTTTTAGTGGAGAGATGACATTGCTTGATAGACTGAGCAAAGTATTTGCTTGTTTAGTAAAAGTGACATTGCTTGAGAAAAGTATTTGCTCATTTAGTAAAAAGTATAGTTTCCCATTTTAGTGGGAAATGAAAATGGTGATTGTGCTCTTCCAGTGGATGGTCTTGGAGAGAGGGTGGGTGTCAAAAGAAGTCTTTCATGGCCTTGTGTGAGGGACCACCTTCAGGACACTCGTGTCCCTGCACTGCTGCGGCTCTACGGCCAGGTACACAAGGTCCCCACTGTCTGCTGTCCTGTTTCTGTGTCATTTGTCTGGGTGGGGCTGGTAGACCTCTTTCCCTGAACTGTGACAAGCCAGGGCTTGGCACTGGACACTGGTGTGTCTGTTGGCAGTAACATTGGGCTGTTAGCAGATGGCAGCGTCAAGTTTTTTTTTTTTTTTTGCGGTACGCAGGCCTCTCACCGTTGTGGCCTCTCCCGTTGTGGAGCAAAGGCTCCGGACGCACAGGCTCAGCGGCCATGGCTCACGGGCCCAGCCGCTTGGCGGCATGTGGGATCTGCCCGGACTGGGGCACGAACCCGTGTCCCCTGCATCGGCAGGCGGACTCTCAACCACTGCGCCACCAGGGAAGCCCCAGCATCAAGTTTTGACCTTTGCAAAGCTTTTACAATCTGAAATGATACAAAAGTAACGAGAGGTGGTGCAGGCTTAAACAATTACGGAGTGGACGGAGCCCTTGATGTCCAGACCAGAATGCCTCCTGGTCCGGCTGGTTTCATTCCCGTGCCATTTATATGTGACAGTTCTTGGCGCAGACTAGGTGGTAGGTGGCACAGTGGAATAGAATGAGGATTTCATGCCTGACGCGTCTCAGATCACTTCACCTCAGATCACCTCAGAACACGTCCTCCCTCAAGAAGAGTTGTGGGGTGCTGGATTTGCAAGGTTCCACGGCTCACGGGGGGTGGGGAGTGAACAGTGGTTGCGGAGCAGGTCTCTGTGTTTAGTTTCTGTGTCTGCGGGTTGAACCGTTTGAGGTCCTCTGCTGGGGGACATGAAGGCCCCTGAGGTTCTGTGCATGGGCTGAGCCGCCCAGGAAGATCTGGTCTAGGGATCTCACTCAGTTACACCTTTGTCCCGGCTGTGGGCCTGTCTCACTTACTCCTTTTGTTTTTAATAACCACTTGATTGAGATGTAATTCACATACCTGAAAGCACCTTTTCGTTTGTACAATTCAGTGGTTTTCAGTATATTCACAGAATTGTGCAGCTGTCCACACTGTCTCACTTCAGAACAGTTCCACCACTGGAAAAAGAAACCCCATACCTGTTGGCCATCACTTCCACTCTCCCTGCAACCGGCTTTCTCTATGGATTTGACTATCCCGGATATTTTATGTAAATTGAATCAGACAATATATGACCCTTTTTGATTGGCTTTCTTTTGCTTAGTGTAATGCTTTCAAAGCATGTGGTGGCACGTATCAGAACTTCATTCCTTTCTATGGCTGAATAATAAATATTCCATTGTATGGATATGCCACAGTTTGTTTATCCATTCATAAGCTGATGGACACATTTTGACAATGATGAGTAAAGCTGCTATGCATATTTGTGTACAAGTTTTTGTGTGGATGTATGTTTTCCATTCTTTTGGTTGCATACCCAGGAGTGAAATGTTTGCGTTACATGGTAAATCTACGTTTAACCCATTGAGGGATTGGCGGTCTGTTTTCCAAAGCCATTGCTGTCATTTTACATTTCTACCAGCACTGTATGAGGGCTCTGATTTCTCTCCGTCCTTTCCCGCACTTAACTATTGTACATTGTTTTGATGACAGTCACCTCAGTCTGGGTGATGTGATATCTCACTGTGATTTCGACATACTGATCCCAGTGACTAATGATGATATAGCCATACCTCATTCCCTTTTATGGTCAGTAGTCCACTGTGTGTCATTCTGCCTAGTCTTGAACTACCCCATCAACAGGGAACTCATTACTTCCAATGTAGTCTTTTTTAGTTCATCTTTTACTTCTTTCAGGGGAGAATGGGGTCAGGGTTCAAAGCCAGGTTCTAGTGTGACATAACTTTGAAGTCTCCTAATTTTTTCTAAATTAAATTCATAGTGTTTTGTCATTCTATGCTGTAATATTTATTTGGTGAATTATAGTAGGCATAAAAGGAATTTCTAAATTACTGTTGAATAAATTAAGCTCATGGCTCTCTGCTCTGTACCCCAGTTTCAGAATCACACACCTCTTCTGTCCTTGGCCATCTGTGTCTGTAGATGATCCTTTATTATACTAGAAATTTGTCCCTGTATAGCTTCTGCCCAGTTGCTAGCTCAGGTCCCACACTCAAGAGTGTACGGAATGAGTCAGATTCGGATTTCCCAGGGTTGCCGTTGAGCTTTTAGTCCTGATGAAAGTCAGGAGAAGCGTTGGAGAGGTCTCATGGGTGGGTGGGCGGTGGGCTATAGGGCATCTCCCTGCTGCCCATCCTCTGCTTGACTCCGGGTGGCATGTCTTTGTTCTGAATTCACTCATCTCAGATTTTTGTCTTGTGAATCTAATGACTGACAAAAATCCCCAAAGTCTGTAGCTTGGTAGGTGCCATTTGGGAAAGGTGAGTGTTTGCTGTATTGCCAAGGATGATAGTTGTTCTAGGCTGGGGAGAGTGGGGTGAATTTACCTCGTCTGCTGACCTTTTGTGTCTCTCTAGTTCCTCCAGGACACCTTGGATGCCCTCTTCAACATCATGATGGAGAATTCGGAGAGCGAGACCTTTGATACATTAGTGTTCGATGCTCTGGTAAGAGGCCTCGACTTTGCATCTGCTCAGATATTACGGGACGCTTTCAGGTTGCAGCCTTTGAAGCTGGGGCGGGATCCATCACAGTAACCCTGAAAGCGCTTTCAGTTGTAAACCCAATCAAAGCAGATGAATTGAGAGGTAGAAAGTTTCTTCCACTGTAACACTGTAGTTAGGCAAATGTAAAATGTAAGGGAAGAAGTAAGGCAGCTGACCAAGCTGTGTCCGAAAGCGTGTTATAGCTCGTTGGCTCACACAGAAGTGCCAGTGATTCAGCTGAAGATTCTAAAATGGTTTGCATTTCTTCTGCTAATGAAAATATTAATTTAACAGGTATTTATCATTGGACTAATTGCTGATAGAAAATTTCAGCATTTTAATCCTGTTTTGGAAACCTACATTAAGAAACACTTTAGTGCAACATTAGCCTACACGTAAGTTCTGTTTTGTTGTTTTAAATTTTACAGTAACTTCTTTGTGTATATTTTTGTAAGAGTCTTTTCCATATACTTTTGCCTGTGATTCTACGTTTCCCTTCCCCAACTGTGAATTTACTGGGATCATTTTTATTATTGTTTCTCTCTTAGCAGACCTAAGAATCTTGTTGAAAGAGATAGGTGATAGATTATAAGATGCCGGAATAAGTTCTTGTCCTTCCCCACACCTTTTGTCTGTCTTTGAAAAATGTTCGGTTTGTGTTTGATGAAACGGATACATGAATGCAGTGCAGCCGCACTGCAGCTTCCTGACGACTGTTTGATGAATGAATAAATGGTTGTGGTCCTGTATTGAGGTTATTGGTTATTTAGTGTGAATAAAATTCAGTTCTGTACTTTTCAGTCTATCTTTTTGCTCTCTATTTATTTATTACCATTTTTAAGGTTGCAGGTGATTTGTTTATTTTTGTTCTGCTGGACAAAGCTGGATAAAATTGTGTTTTTTTTTTTGGGAATTCCCTGGCAGTCCAATGGTTAGGACTCGGTGTTTTCCCTGCCATGGCCCAAGTTCGATCCCTGGTTGGGGAACTAAGATCATGCAAGCCGCACAGCACAGCCAAAAAAAAAAAAAAAAAAAAAAAAAGATCTAAAAAAAATTATTTTTTCTTTTAAATTGCTTGGTTAGTGATGTTCAGAGAGCCAGAATGTCAATGTTGTCCGGATAAAACATCTGCAGGTTTGACAATTGTTTTTAGACTTCATCTGGATATTGGCTTTTAATACTCTTGCATCTCTTTCTTTTTTAATTTTTTCTTTAAATTTAATTTTTTAATTGAAGTATAGCTGATTTACAACGTTGTGTTAGTTTCAGGTGTGCAGCAAAGTGATTCACTTATACATATATAAATATGCGTGTCTGTAATATATATACGCACATATATATTGTTTCCAGATTCTTTTTGCCTTTTAAAGAGTGCCTTTCCTTTTGTTCCAGAAGCTTCGGCTCTAACTAGGATTCTTACTACTCACCCAGCTGCTCTCCACCTGCCCTACATCCCCACATGGGCCCCTTTTGGGTCTACTAGACACCAAGGGGAAAGTGAAGCCTGGTGTTGATGCCACAGCCCTGGGACCTGGCCACCTGGGCTTATGTTACCACTCTGTCACTTTCAAACTTGCTTAAACTCTGTGAGCTTCAGCCTTCTCATCTGTACAACAGCACGGTTGTAGGTTTCCTTGAGAATTTTAATGAGTTATTACATGTCAAGTATTTGGAATAATCCCTGCCACTCAGAAAGCACCAAGCAGTAGTTAGGTTTTGTTAATATTAGAATTATTAGGGCGAGTTCCTCATTCTCTCACAATGGGATTTATTGGCGTTTATTCAGACTTTTTATTGTGTGAGTTGCAGTGAAAAAGAAAGGTTTAATTTCTTTAAGAACATTCAACTTAGAATCATTCGAATCATTAGAAATGATTCTCTTTTAGGGCCAGGAAGTTGAGTCAAAGCTCCCATCTGTGTCTTGACCATACTTAGGTCAGAACCTGTTGTCCTTGGCTGTGGGACTCAAGGTCAGCAGCTCTGTCCCTGATTCTTGGATTCTTCCCTGTTGGCTTGAGTGCATGTTTATTGCAGGGCAGTGGGTGGAGCCCCCAGTGGGCGGGGAACAGCGATGTCCTCACCACACAGCGCAAGCTGTGACCAGCTTTGTGCTTGCTGACTAAGAAGCGTTTGTTTAAAACATTCTGTTCTCTCAGTGGAGAAGCCCAGTTTGTCACACTTTGGACAGTTCCCTGCAGACCGTGGGAGGGCTGATCATGTGACACCATCTAGCTATAGCAACCAGAAGGAGCCCAGGGTTTATGGGCGTGGCCTCCATGCTGCTCTGGGTGTCATGTGACCTCCATATGTGTCACTTTCACCTTTCTCCTTCTTTATTGAAAGGGGGTCAAACAGCTTTGCTCAGATTAGATTTTGCACTTTCATTTCAGAAAATCGGAACAGTGCTAAGGTCACCGTGCTGCATTCCAGGTCGCCTAGCTGGCGTCCCCCTGCCTGTGACTTTGGGGAGAACGGTGCCCTTATTCTCAAAGGTGGAAAAAGAACATTGGGGAGCTTTGGGCAAGTTACTCAGTGGGAGACACAAAAAGTACCATTTTATTGTTAGGTTATGATGGGACGGAGTTGAGAATCGGTATCCTCTCATTCAGTCTGTCCTCTGCCAAAAAGGAAATTTAAATTTCGGAAAATAAATATTCTTGTCATGTTTTGGTAAACCAGCAACCCCAAGTGGTTCTTCAGCCATTGCAATCTGAGTATTTTTGCCTTGAAATACCAGAGGAGATAATTGTGGTTTAGCAGTTCTTTCAGCCTTCTCTGGCCCAGGGGACATTCGGGTTCTAAGTGTCATCACAGCCAGTCTCTCCTCCGCCTCTTCTAGGAGCCTTGGTTAGGCTAGAGTCTGGTCCAGGTAGTTTCTTTATGTCTTTCCTTTGATAAATGTTGAGATCTGTAGCCTTTCTTTGCAAAGAACTCCAAGAGAAGAAATTAAAAATGACTGGAGGCGATGGGCATTACTTCTTAGCCCTCTGACTCTCGCAAAGCAGGAGCTTCCCTGCCTGGGCAGTTCACGGATCAGAGTGACCGGCTCTGGTCCAAGCCAGGAAGGAGGGAGGTGTCAGCTTCGGGGACGGTTCTTCCAGAAGACCAGCGGGACAGGCTCCTTCTGTCCACAGAGCTGCCTTGCCCAGAGCTGGGTCAGACCTTCCTCCCACTGAATCGATGTGCCCTTTGGTCTGCCCCTCTGAGCTGGTGCCGAGGAATTTGGTCTTTCTGCAGTTACGAGTGGCGTGGCTGGCGTGGATTCGGGTCTTTTGACTTGCAGATTTATTTTCTGGTTCTGGGTCATTCTCTTTGCAAATCATTCCTTCTTTTTATTCTTTTCTTTGATTAATCTATTGGAAGGATTTCCAAAATGTATTTCTATGGAATGTATATTTCTTGGCATATTAATAAGGTCTAAGAGTGAAAGGTGTGTGTGGTCCAGTCAGTTTGGGAAAATAAGTTAAACCGAGTGAAACAGGTTTTATGCCAGGACTTGAGATGTTCTGCTGTGCCTCAGGAACCATCAGGAAACATGTATGGGACAATACCTTTCCCGACGTCGGGGCCGGGGAGCCTGTGGGAAGGGGATCTCTCTGGCTTCCCTTCTTCAGGACATACTGGCAGGAAGGCTTCTATGGTAGTCTCTCATTTCTTGAGTTCTGCAGCCTGATCAGTGTTAGAAATGACTTTGTGTCCACTCAGTCACCCAAAAGCCTTTTTATTGTGATTTATCAGTAGAATTGTTACTCTTAGAACTGTTCCGAGGTCATCCAGAATCCAAGTTACAGTTGCTCTTATGAGTGTCTTGTAATAATCTCGAATAACAAGCTAGTGAATGCTGGCTCACAGCTTAATGGGAAATGCTGTGAGTGCCCTGACAGGTTATTTTTATGACTGTGATGAATATTTAAAAGCTACAGGGAAGTTCTGTTGATTACATAAAACGTTAGGGAGTGGAGAAGTTTGGTTTAGGGAGTAGTCTTGTTGGTTGTTGTCATACAGGTTTTACATATGCTGCTAGTTTTTGGAGAGTTACAGTGTAGCCCAGTACACTAAAAGCCGATAGTATATTGCAGTTAATTTAGTTCTTCTTTTATGATTTAGAAAGCATAGCTTGAGGGTCATCCTTGTGAACAGTGATTATTAGTTTATGGGCCGGTAGTGGTAGAAAATATAGACGTTTGGACAGAATAAAAAACTGATTGTTACCATTACTGCCTCTATCATTTGAAAATACCATATGCTCAATAAAAAAAAAAAGAGCATTATGAAAGTAGATATGTCTGTAGAAATCCCTTTGATTTTTGTTATTCAGCATTGGGAAAGCTAGTTTACCTACCTAATCCTGGGCTTCTCCATCTGTAAGTTAGGGATAAAACTCATCACTTGCCTTATAGTGTTGCTGTGAAGAATAAATTATATAGTACATTTAAATGCTTACAAAAACATCTAAAACTTAGAAAGTTCTTGTTAAATGCTCAGATCTCGCTCCTCTGAGAGTTATTATATGGATCGCTTTTAATCTGCTTGAAATACATTTCACAAATATGCATATACTGATAAGCGTGTACCCAAATAAAAAGAACCCACTTGTGTGTTTTTGTCCCGGTTAAGAACTGAGATACTGTAATCTACTGGACTTGTTAACTTGTGTTTCCATTATGAACAGGAAGCTGACGAAAGTTTTAAGGAACTATGTGGACAATGCCGAGAGGCCAGGAATCAGCGACCAGCTGTATAAAGCCATGAAAGCTTTAGAGTACATCTTCAAGTTCATCGTGCGCTCCCGGATCCTGTTCAATCAGTGCGTATCACCGTGCTGGCTCTCCGGTGGACTTACAGGAAATCCTTTCCTTCCTTCCTTTTCCTTCTCCATTCCCCTTCCTCCCGTCTTTCTCCTTCCTTTCCCTGCTGTCGAGCATGACACAGCAGTAACAGATAACAGTCCTGGGCTGGGTTTGCCCACACTCACTGTATCTGCTCCCACATGTAGTGAAAGGCAAGCATGAGTTTGAGTCTTGAGCCCTGAGTCTGAAATGTGTGCCTGTGAGTCAAACATCATCTCCTGAAAGCATTGATAATTCTTCAGAGGAAGTGCAGACTGAACACCAAGGGTTCTGAAGTTCTTTTCAGTACATCTTATAGAGAAAAAAGCCCTTGAAAAACAAAATTAAAACAAACAAGCAACAACAGCAAAGAGCCAAAACTAAGTTAAACTACCTTACTTGGGAAGACTGGGGGGCTTCCTCCCTCTTCCCTTCAACTAGAATCATGTTTTGTTCCCAGAGAGATTCCCACATACAAGATTGCTGTGCAAATGGACACTCAGTGTTTTAACCTAGTGATGTGTTTCATACACTGTGTAGGTGAATTTATGCGTTGTGTTTGAACTTTAAAGTGGATTGGGATAGTCCCAATCCACTTTAAAATAATGACTTCATTATTTTATAGAGAACATTAGTATTTTTCCTATGTATCTTGAGATGAAAGAGATGTGCTAAAATAAATGAGCTTTCAGTTGGTCCACAGTATTTAACTCTGTGGATGAAGAGATGTGAAATGGGTAGATGGGGTGTTGGGGTGTTGAAATTGACTCACTCTGCTACTGCTTTTGGAGCTAGCTGCTTTGGGTGACCTACAGTGGATGATGTTGGTTGCTGTTGATTGTTGGAGGTTGATGTTCTTGTGGTGAGTTCTAAACACAGAGATGGAGTTCAAGAATCAATGTCTGTTTGTTTACGGATATCCCTCTGAGTTCTTTCCTCTCACCCACCTTAAGCTGGGTCAAACAAGTGACTCTTATTGATTTATTTGACAAAACCAAGAGGGTGGGACTAGAGACCTCTCTTTCATTACAGAAAGGTGCTTTCAGAGTGCTTGCTGTAAACTGCTAACCATTTATGTCTTTTAAACATGTCGGTTGGAGCAGAGAAACTAGTAATTAAGTTTTCATTCTTGAGGGATTCTTGGTAGAATTTTAAATATAAGAAAGACTGATTGATTGTATCTTGTAGATTTTGAAGCTGTGTTATTGGGGGCATGCAGATTTAGAACTGTGATCTCTTTTTTCGTGGATTTACTCCTTAATATGAAAAGGTTCCCTTTATCTTTTGGTTAGTATTTGCATGGAATACCATTTCCCATTCATTTACTTTCAGCCTTTCTGTGTTCTTATATTTAAGGTTTGTCTCTTATACACACCATAGAGCTGTGTTTTTATTTCATCCAGTCTGAGAATCCTTTTAATTGAGTATTTAGTTCATTTATAAACAATGCAATTAAGTAATATATTAGGTTTATATCCGCTGTCTTTCTATCAATTTTCTCTTTTACCCATCTGTATTATGTTTCCTTTTCCTGCTTTTTTGGCCTTCTTTTGTATCAGTCAAAACTTTCATTTTTTATCCCATTTTCTCTCTTTTTTTTGTGTTATTATTGTCATGCATTTCAAGTCTACATATATTTTATGTTATTATTTTGTATAGTTGGTATTCATTCAGCATGTTTTATATTTATTATTGTTTTTCCATCTTTCTTTTAATTTTATGTTTCTCTATAGGATAATTTTCCTTCAGTGCAAAGAACTTCCTGTAGGATTTCTTTGGGTATAAGTCTGCTGCAGGCTTTGTTTGTATGAGAATCGTTGACTTCATCTTTGTTTTTGAAGGATGTTTTCTTTTAATATAGAATTCTAGATTGGCAGTTATTTTCTTCTTCCAGATGTTATTCTTTTCTCTTTTGATTTCCATCATTTCTGGTGAGAAGTCAGCTTTCAGACTTATTGTTGCATCTTTGAAGGTAAAGGTGTCTTTAAAATTTTTTCTCTACCTATGTTTACAATTTTTCTCTTTTTCTGTGGTTATTAGCAGTTTTACTATGGATTACATAGGAATGGTTAGCCTTTTACTTATCCTACATTGGATTTTGAGAGCTTCTTGAATTTTTAAAAATTAATTAATTGATTTTGGCTGCTTTGGGTCTTTGTTGTTGCGCACGGGCTTTCTCTAGTTGTGGCGAGCGGGGGCTGTTCTTCGTTGTGGTGCACGGGCTTCTCATTGTGGTGGCTTCTCTTGTTGCGGAGCGTGGGCTCTAGGTGTGTGGGCTTCAGTAATTGTGGCATGTGGGCTCAGTAGTTGTGGCTCTCGGGCTCTAGAGCGCAGGCTCAGTAGTTGTGGCGCACAGGCTTAGTTGCTCCGCGGCATGTGGGATCTTCCCAGACCAGGGACTGAACCCGTGTCCCCTGCATTGGCAGGCAGATTCTTAACCACTGCGCCACCAGGGAAGCCTGCTTCTTGAACTTTGGATTGATTCTCTATCAATTTTGGCAAATTCATGGCCGTTATCTATTCTAATGTTGCATTTGTCACATTGTAGCTCTCATTTTCTTCTGTAACTTCAATTACATGTATGTTAGATCTCTTCATTGTGTCCTACATATCTCTAGCACACTTTTCTGTATTTTCTGTCTCTTCTGTTTATTTTCCTGTTGATTGTCTTCCATTTCACTGATTCAGTCTTTAACTCTGTCTAATCTCAAGTTAACCCATATAGTGAATTCTTAATTTTATTTTATCATTTAAAAAAAACTTTTTTTTTTTTGGCTGCATTGGGTCTTCGTTGCTGCGTGCGGGCTTTTCTCTAATTGCAGCAAGTGGGAGCTACTCTTCGTTGCAGGGTGCGGGGTTCTCGTTGTGATGGCTTCTCTTGTTGCAGAGCATGGGCTCTAGGTGTGTGGGCTTTATGAGTTGTGGCACATGGGCTTAGTTGCTCTGCGGCATGTGGGATCTTCCTGGACCAGGGATCAAACCTGTGTCCTCTGCATTGGCAGGTGGATTCTTAACCACTGTGCCACCAGGGCAGTCCCTGAATTCTTAATTTTAGGTATTATATTTTTGTTTTAGAATTTTCATCTTTTTTATACATTCATTTCTCTACTAGAATATTTTATCTTACCTTCTGTTTTCTTCATCTCTCTATTTTCATATTTCCAGTTTTCTATTTTTTCCATCTTTTTCTTTTTGTTTTACAATATAATATTTATTTTGACACTCTTGATACAGGATGTAACTGCTTGCTAACTACAATATCTTGATCACTTGTGGATCTGTTTCCGTTGTCTCTTTTTTGATTTGGCCATGTGGTCTGGTATTCCGCTGTGTTTAGTAACTTTGTTTGAATACAGGACTGTGAATATATAAAACTGTCAAAGCTCCAGATGATGTGATGATCTTCAAGAGATGATTCATCCTTTTCTTTTTTAGGCAGAGAAAGTGAGACGGAACCTTTACACTACAGAGGCTGTATGTAGCCTTTGTGAGCCTCAGTGTTATATGGTTTTCCTCTGGTTGCCCAGGGTTTTGAACTGAGAGTCTGCTGTGTTATCTGGAGCCCCTCTCCCTGACATTTTTCAAGCTGTATTCTTTATCTGTGGAGACAGATAAACACTCCACTCTGCTTTATAGATGTTTTCATTTTGGTTTTCAGTCCCCTGCGCCATGGAGCCTTAGAATTGGCAGATATACTGGGAGCGGGGTTGGGGGGAATGGGGGAGAATGGATGAGTACATGCTAGAAGCCTCCCCAAGTATCTGCACCAGTCTGCCAACCTTGCTCCTTTTCACCTGCAAGCAGAAGTTCATGACTTCATAATTGTCATTGTTTGGCACACTGTTTATACAAACCCCTATTTGAAAACCCTTTACAGAACGGATACACTAGGTTGCAGTGTCCCATTTTAGACAGAGTTTGTTGCTTTACAATGGCACTCATTTAAGATTACTTCTAGGGTAATTAATTATCGCTTAGTTTACAAAATTTTCCATTGTACACAAGTTTTCAGGTATGGTATACTTTTAATTAGGCAGAAAACTAGTCTGTATTAATAAAACCTCTGCGCTGCAGCCTTTTAAAATGCAAATGTATTGCTTGTTAGTAACACAGCAGCTTGAAGTAACTGCTAATAAATAATTTATAGATGAAACTTATTTACAATTAGCAGCACGTATTTGCATACATGTAACCAGTGTACCCCTTCCTTATTATCCATTTACTGAATATGATCCACTTTTTGAATGTTTTCCCGCAACCACCAAGTTCTGTGATGGAAGAATTTGTATAGTGTCATTACTCTGAAGTCAAGTAATTTTGAGTTTATTATTATAGTGTCATTTTCAAAAGGTTCTAAGATCGTGTTAAACTTAGTTACCTTTGTGATTGTCAATTATGTGACATGGGTTTAAGAAACCCTGGCAGAATATACACTGAAATATTAATGATGTGATCTCTGCGGGGTGGAATTAAAGCTGGATTTCTCCATCCTTCCTTACCCTCTCCCTCCTTCCCTCCCTTTTTATACATTTCTGCGTTTTTCAGATTTGTGGCATGTGTTGTGTTACAAAAGCCAAAAGGCAATAAATAGGTGAATAAAAATCACCTTCTCCAGTGTGAAAGCGTATCTCCCTAGCTGAGTGGGTCCAGATTATAATCCAAGTCAGCTCCCTGTTCCACGGATATTGAAGATGCTCCCTCACAGCAACTTTAATGTCTGTAGATGCAGGAGCCGAAAGTGGTGATGTGCCGTGTGCCAGGCCCACAGAGCTGTGTGTTCCTTTGCAGGCTGTACGAAAACAAAGGAGAGGCCGATTTCGTGGAGTCCTTGGTGCAGCTGTTCCGATCCATCAGCGACATGATGAGCGGCGTGTCAGACCAGACCGTCCGGGTGAAGGTAGGTCCTCGGGCCAGCGCCCACCACACTCAGGGCCCCGCTCTTAGAGGCAGGACTCCCTGCAGGCCGAGAGAAGCAGGGTCTGCATGTCCTTCGAAGCCTGGACTTGAGCGGAAGGTTCAGGAGCGGCTTTGCAGTGACCATGGTCGTGGTCCCTGTAATGGGATTCTTTTTGCTTCCTCTGTAGGGGCTCTTAAATGCTGTCCTTGGTCTTTGCTTCTCTGCAAGGAGAGGTTCTCAGTTTCCTTTATGGAAGGATGGGGAAGTGGATGAGAATGATGTTTTCACGTCACTTGTCAGGGCATCTCAGTATCTGAGCAGGCTGTAGGTGCCCCAGGCATCCGTCAGACCTCAGGCTGAGCTGTGCTGATAGTGATGTATCTTGGTCCCTCCAGCGAGTCTGGAAGAGCGAGTGAGGGATCCAACCTTCCCGTGGTCCTGCTGTTCTCACCACCTTATTATCTGTTCTTGCCCTGTGGTCCTGTGGGAGAAAAGATGCCTGCGTCTGAGGTGGGGTCTGTGTGGTCTCCAGGACACGCCGGCGTGGAGGCGCCAGGAGCTGGGGCATGGGAGGGGCCCAGGGAGCGGCCCAGGACCCGCACACCTGCCAGCATCCCTGCCTGGCAGTTTCAGTGTGGCTGACTTACTGCAGAAGAAGCCGTGCGGTTTGTGTGCTGCCCGTGCTGATTCCTTCAAAGGACAAGAATCTTCCAAATGATTAACTTGCAGCTTTCACTCCGCTGTTCCCGTAGCAGCCTCTGTTCTTACTTTCCTCTTTGCATGTTCTTTTACTGTAGCACTTCCCAGGAAACATCTTTATGGCTATTAAAAATATTGTGGGAAAGTGATTTCCCAGCTTTTAAGTCTGGGACAGAGATGTACGTGTGCTCAGATGTGTGTCACGCTTGTTGTGACCAGGGGAGCAGTGTCACTAAACGTGAATAGTCACGATGGCCCTTTCATCTCGGAGGTGAAGCTGCTGCCTGGCAGAGCCGTGCCGTCCTCAGTATCACTTCTCAGTCTTCATGTAGAGCTGGTGATCCACAGAGAAAGCCGTGTGGCCTGTATTCTCAAGTTTTGGCTTAATTATTTTGGCAACTTACTGCCTAAAGCTGCCTTACTGTTTTGAGGTTAAAATTAACAATGTGTTTGGTACATTTACTACGAAATCCTCTGGCATTTCTGAAAAACAGACACAGAGAGTCTAAGAATAGATACAAATGACAGGAAGTTTTGAGCCCAGAAGTCCTTTTTGGTTTCTAAATATACTGTTAGATTATTAAATTTGATTGGGCTTGACTTGTGTCTGCCCACCTCCCTGGATGCCAAGGCATTTAGTAACTGCAGACTTGCATGTCCTTCCTTCAGTGGGTTTTATTATGAGACGTGGGTGAATTCAGCGACGTGTGTGCATTGATGCAAACCTTACGTCTGCAAGATGGATGACTGAGTTCTTTCTGAAATGTTGCCTCCTTGCTGCTGATTTTGTATTTTGTTCTTGCACAATAGGTGCTTCCTCGACTTCTGAAATTTAAGAATTCCCATCACGGGATCCTGTTTTTGTGTTGTTTTAACACTTTACGTTTTGCTCCGTGGAAATGGAAATACAATTGTGAGTCATCTTACGTAGAGGAAATATGAAAAAGACTGGCATTTCTTAGGGGTTAAACGTTGTTTCCCAAGGGTGGCCCTTGTTGGCTGTTTTGATCTTGGAGATGACGTCATTCGTGAGCGGGGGTCAGCGCGCTCCATGCCTGCTTGGTGTTGTTCCGCGTGACCTGATAGACTTGTGGGGTGGGAGTGGCCGTTCTGAGCACCCCGCCGTCACCCTTCTCAGACTTGCACGAACCACTTACACCCACCTTGCGGATTCAAGTCAGCATTTTATGCCTCAGTGACGGGAGGGGCGAGAGGAGTTTCTGACAATAATTAACTGCAGGATAAACACGGCATCCAATTAGAATTGTCAACAGCGCTGCCTTCCACTGGACTTGGAGTTTTTAGCAGGGTCATTTAACTTAAGCAGGAGCGTACTTGGGTACATTTTTGTTACATGGGTTAGGGAACCACGGTGAATATGTGGGCGATGCTCTGCCAGGTGGCCTAAGGTCTCTTCCACTTCTAGATCCTGCTCTGGGGCCCACACACTCACCATTGTGCTGCTTTACGATCCCTCAGTTAATGACCCCCAACCTCAGAGCTGCTGACAGATCCTTAAAAAAATTCTTTATATGGTAAATAACATGAAAAATTACCACTTTAACCACTTTTAAGAGTATAGTTCTGTGACATGAAAGACGTTCACGTGGCTGTGAAACCATCACCACCATCGGTCTCCGGAACCCTTTTCATTGCCCCAGACAGAAACTCGGTACCTGTTACACCGTAGCTGCCCCGTTCTCCCCTCCTCCCAGCCCCTGAGAGCCACCGTGCTGCTGTCTGTCTCTATGAACTTGAGTGTTCCAAGTTCCTCGCGTGAGTGGAATCATACCATACATGTCCTTTTGTGACCGGCTTCTTTTTTT